TTGCCAAACAAAAAAACCACACCCACCATTTTATAGCATTAAAAGGTGCAAACAATAAGCATTAAGGAAAGGGAATAAAAAAAGGATTTCTCCATACAAGCTAGATACCTACACCCATGTTTGGACATGTCAAAAACCTTCTTCTGAGATTATGATCTGTCCAAGACGTCTTCTTTACAACCCTCTTTCCGTAATTACAAAGCATATCCATAAATCTGTCACTAAGATTCTCCTCCTTCCCCTCTTTTTTCTTGGTGAATATGGCACAGAGCTCTTTATTCTTTGTAAAGGAGGGACGTTGTGGAAGCTTTGACACCAAAATACCTCATTTCCCTTAATTACCCCTGAAACTTGTGTCTGTCTATCACAGTAAATGGCTGAATTGGATGAAAGGGCTTGATGGACACAAATTGACAAGTTGAAGGGGTTAATTAACACAAACCAAAGTTGAGGGGCTTAATTGATACAAACTATATCATTTAAGGGCTAAATAAGTAGTTAACTCCTGAAATTTTATATCTCAATTTACATTTGAATCGTTCGATTGGTAAAACCTGTTCGATTCAATGGTTTTACGAAAAATCGGCTAGTTTTTACGGTTTTAGTGTGCAAGCGGTCTAATTCATAACCTAGTTCACCGGTCGGACCGGCTAGTCCGGTTCAATTTTGATAACCCTACCCTATAAAGACCCTGGCCATTCACCAAGACTAACTCAAAATTTCACATTTCTCATTCTTCTCAACACACATCATTCTGTTTATTTCGTTTTGCATCCCTTGGCTATTTTTTTTTTCCAGTAAGCATTCAAGATAATTTTTTCGTCAGTGTAAGACGCAATCAGGTTAGACTTTATTATATCTTAAGGACAAATTTGCAGATTTTCTATTTGCACACCTTAAAAAAATTCTAGTGGAGACAAATACTAATTTTAAGAAAGTGTTCCTACACGACTTAAAACATTATTGATTTTCAGTGAAGTTCTAGAGTTCCAAGGATCCAATTTCGTTCTACACCAACAAGAAGAAGCAGTTTTCATCAACATTAATAACATGGTAATTACCCTACCACTTTCGGACAGTGTTATCAAAATCGGACCGGACCGGCCGATCTGACCAATTCAACCTCAAATCAGGACCTTGATCGGTCCAGTTCCCTAATTGGACCGCTTAAGGCAAAGAATTGGCTATAAACCGAAAAAATCGGCCGATTTTCATAAAAAAACCGTGAACCGACGGATTTTAGAAAATCGGGCAGCTTAATACTCATTTAAAATTTAAATTACATGAATAAATTAATTTATTTTTTGAACAGGATTTGTGGCTTTTTTTTTGCCCTACATCGTAAAACACTAAACAGATGGTAGTAGCGATCAGGCTCAGCTGCGATCAGCAACTGTTCTCAATTGCGATCAGGCTCCATTGACATCGACTACAATCAACGACCAGGGTCCAGGGGCAGGGATTTTCGAGTGCGATCAGCGACCAGCGAAACTCAACTTCTCCCTTTAAGGTAAAAAGTTTTGCTGTGATTCGAGGGGTAAATTCATGGTTGGTCACTGCTTCAATTTTCTTAACTTCCAAAGCATCACTCATGCTAAATCCATCAATTAAGCCTTCCAAATAAGACTGAGCTTCTTTATTGAAGCTTGGAATCTCAGTCACTCCAGGAATTTGCGAAAGCTTTAGCAACCACTTGATATGACAGAGAGTTTTAGTATTAAGAGATCGTTAGTTCATGGTAAGAAGCAGATACAGTTGTTCATGAAAGTCTGAGGGAAACAAAAATTTTAAGAAAATATCATAGTACTGCATCCACAGAAATTTTAACTAAATTATTATGTTTTATAATTATTATATATATATTTTTATATTTTTTATTATATGACCGATCCAACCAGTGACCCATTAGTTGAACCAGTGAATCATTGATCCAGTCCCTTTGTCGGTTTGATGACCGGTCCGGTTCTAATAACATTGCTTTCGAAAGTGATATTAAAAATGGGTGTACTTTCAATAGAATGTTAAAAAATAGGGATGATCGATGCATAGTCATTCTTAATCCAAGCATATTGGATATAGTTATTATAAAATTGATAGAACTTAGAATGGAGGAAACCACAAATAAATGAAGACTCAAATTGCAATATATTCGTATCAATTGTAGTAGTGGCAAAGTAAATCCAAATCATAATTTAAGGGATAAAGTGTAATTAATCTCATTGACCCGAATTTTTTGTCGAGAACAATTGAAACCATCAAAGGAAAATCACCAAATAATGGCACCTGTATGTGGTTCCAAAGAAACAGAAGAGAATTAACAAGACTAGAATATCAAAAAATAAATTAATGGTGTTACAATACTATTTGATGAGATTACAACAAAATGGTTTGTTTGGGATCAATTTTAAAAATTTTTAATCAATTCTATTTTTTGCTGTGAATTAACACTCTTTAGTTTTAACTTGACCTAAAAAATTATAATTTTATCCAAAACAATTATAATTTTCCATACGATCCTATAGACACACGTTGATATGCCTATTTTATTGTTTACTCCTAAGCTACTCCCAGGAAAAACAAGATTTTGCATATCGTATTCAATTTTTTTTCGGAAGGTTTTTTTTTTTTTTTTTTTCAGAAGGTAATGGAATTCAATTAACAGACTTTGACAAGTACAACCTTTTTTCCATCATATATCATATACACACGACATCTATGGCATAATTAAATCTCAAACATCTAAATTAGATGAATTCTTCGTCACCTAAAACTAACGGATCAGTTGATTTGATCCTCTTAGTAAAAATCTTTGTTACCGTAATGTCAGTCTTATGCTCACTACAAAAATGGAAATGCCACGCTAGTTAGTGGAGTACGGATTAATTCATGGAAGATAATTAACATACACATCATTTCTGCGAAAATAAATGCACCATTTTGATTACACTTTTGGAAAGTAAGCACATATACACTTTTATTTTTAGGGTTTAAAATAAGATAAAATAATATATTGAATATTATGATCCCAAGAACTTGACAAGCCTGCTGCAAACACACATGTTCATTTTATATTGTTACACTTTTTAAGTAAAATGTACTAATGCATAAGTAGACTATTATACTTTCAATTACTCCTTTGAGGTATGAAAGAAACCAATATGAGGAAAAAAACACACAAAAATACAAAACAATCAATCAATAACCTAAAGTATTTCAAAAAAAAAAAAATTGAGAAAGACTAAGAACCTAATGAAATGGAATTCTCCTGACCATAACCAAACCAATTGAAAGGAGCAAACTGTTGACAGTGCTATAGGAAACTGTATGAAAGGATTAAGAAAATCACATTCACAAGACACGAAAGTTAGAGAATACAGATCACCAGCATTTACACTATTAAACAGCTAATACAAGTTCCTCAGTGTCCATCTTTCATGCGCCTTTCAGCAAAGAGGTAAAAATAATAACATATAGTGTCTAAGAATACACAATAACTGAAATAAATGTAAACGCCACGATTGATTACATAACAGCCACATTCCAATGATCACTGCCAGTTTCGCATGTCCCTGCAAAATGAACAGGTCAAGGAGCTAACCATCGATCTGTTAAGTGTGCTTTCACACAGAATACAGAATTTCACATTCCAATGATTGCTACCAATTTCGCATGCTCCTACCCTTGATCAGTAAGTATGAATGCACACAAATTACAGAATTTCATGTATAAGCCACAACAGCATAATGTTACCCCAAGATAGAGTATTTTTTTTTATCCAACCCCAAAATAGAGTTGAACAGGCTATAATAAACACTTATACATGTGCTAACTTTCCTGCATTACCATTGAAGATCATTGATGGGATGAAAACCCATCCCTTGAACAAACTATTCTTCGGGGATAAAAGCTAACAAGAAATGTGATTTTTTGCCTCCAAGATCTCTCTCTCTCTCTTCTGGGGATTTCGTGGTTGACGTTTTTTTTTTAAAAGGATACGGGAGGTGGGTGGTAAGGAGAAAGAAAGAAACATATCCTAACAAGCCATTAGCATGATTGATGGAATTTTCGATGTAACCCTTTGTCTCATAATAAGATAAGGAGTCGTTTTCCAACTTCTTGGAAGTACCTTTAAGTTGCGAACATCATATTAGTACACCACACAAGTATTGTATAGCGAAATCATTTTGAATTGAGTGTCACCAAAACAATTGAAACGAGAAATCAAGATTTGGCATACTGGTTTAAGGTGAAAAAGGTAGCGAATGTGGAAAGACGAAGGCAGCTGTGTGGTAATAGCAGTGACCTAGAAAGCAAAAACATCTTGTTTAGGACAGAGTGCCCATGTCAGACATGTTTCAGACATGAACACACTTCGGACACAAACACTTATGAGTGTCTGATTCTATCATTATTGTTTTTCCCCGGACATATTTTGGACACATTGGGGACATGCAACCATCATGTACGAGACAAGCAAAGAAAAGGTTTTGTTGTTTTTTCCAATTTCATAAAACTTGTCAAATAACTTGATATATAAGGATTGGATCATAGATTTATTATATAAAAGTTACTACTATTATAAAAGGAGATGAGGGGTATGCATGGTTCAAAGTCACAGTATTGGCTCTCAACTCGGAGGAGATTGACAAACATCGATCGCAGCGCAATATTGGTTCTCAACTAGAGAGCACTGATATACATCGGTTGTAGCATCGAGGCACGATTTCAGTTGATATGCACAAAAAGCTACATAAAAAGCTCAAATTTTTTTAAAAAAAATTTTAAAAATATAAACATCATCATTAATACATCATATGTCCAAACTACATCCCTTAGCAATTGAATACAATGAAAATAACATATAAAGACACTACTGAAAACAAGTATCATCATCTGTGTTATGCACCCAAAAGCAATAAAAGTAATAAAAAAACTAATGATAAAAATAAAAACTCCAATGAGACAAGGATTGACCAAAGAAAAAAAAAGCGATACACCAGAAAAAAAAAAAAAAGAATATTCTAGAAACTAGACTGGACTAGTGGTCTCTCACTTTTTAGTCCAATATATCTAGACTAGACTACTCGTTTATAGACAGAGAACGAGACTCACTTGTTCAGAGAGAGAAAAACAAAGAGAGAGAAAAAGAGAGAAATTGAGCATTGCTTTAGACAAAGAGAGAGAAAGAGATGTTTTGTCTCAGACGAAGGATCTGAGTCGCTGCTTTGTAGAAGAAAAAGATCTAGCGAGGCTCTTACTCGTTTAGATTTTCCTTCATTTCTTTTTCAAAATATTCTTGTTGTATATATACAATTTCCAAAAGGAGATTTCTTGCGATTAGTGTCTGAAAATTTTAGATTTCAAGTGCATCTGATTTCTGTGATTCTGTTCGATTTTTTCTTTATTCTCATATGTTTATTTTGCCTTTTGCATTTTCTCTAAGATTTTTTGAGATTTGGTGGACATTTTCACCATATTGGTCTGATTCCGATATGAATTGTCCAAGTTACCCCCAAATGACTTCTAATCAGATCGATACCATCAATTCAGAACCGAGTCATCATCAATTCAGGTGAAAACAGGATTTTTATGTAATGTGTACCGGTATCAGATCGGCAGTGGCCGAGTCGTATCAGACTCTGTCAATACTTTGAACCCTAAGGGCATGGTGTTCACATGTGAAATATCCATAATATAGGATACCTATTTTCCTCCATCAATCACTTATAACCTCTTAATCACCTATCATTTATATCCTCTTAATCACCTATAACTCGCAATTCAACAATACTCAACTACCAATATAATTTATCTCTCTTGATTACTTCCCACTCCCATATCTCTCTCCTCTCCCTCTTCCTCTCTCTCTTTCTCCCCCTTTCCCTATCTTGCTCTTGTGCAATCACGCAAACTAATAACTATTTGCAGAACCTTCCAGTCACCACACGGGACATGGATACAAACATAATTTCAAATACGAACATTAAGTAGGGTCTACGAAGTTACAAACTTCGGCTCACAAGAATAAAGAGCAACGCAACACTCCACAACCTATGAAAATAATCTTATAAAGTAATAAAATTGTTGATGTGACAATCTTGGAATTGTCTTATTAATGAATTGATAATTGCTCTCTTATGATTTGTTGATCCTTCAATTTAAATGTTAGTATTCTAGTTCATGATCATCTATGTATCAAAATAAATACATAATATTTCTTGTGTCCCCCACTGTGTTTGTGTCGTATATCTTTAAAAATTTAGTGTCAACGTGTCAATATCGTGTTGTATCCTTGTCTCATGTCCGTGTTTGAGCTTCTAAGGCAATGATAGCAAGAACCGGACAAGCCAACAAAATGACAACAACCAATAGATAATAATGACAGTGAAAAAGGTAGTTGAGCGACAAATGATAGTACAACTATAGTATGGTAGGGATAGAACCATGAACATGGACTCAGGATATGGATAGGACATGACACAGACACTATCACTGCTCTAACTGATTGAGTTTTTTCATTATTTGCTATGGAAATTTAATCATTGCACAAGGAACAGGAAAAATAAAAATTCTAGGTTTAAAATCACAAAAATGAACTTAAACGGATTCAATAGAGATCGAGAGAAAGTGTTTGCACGTATCAGGCAACCATTGATAAAGCAAAATTCAAACATATCAACCGGCATCTCAACCCTACATGAAAAGTACAATCCAAAGCCACATCCTCTTTAAGTAGATTGTAGAATCAACCATCACATTATTTCTTTTCATAATGAAAGTAATGCAATTTCATATAACAATACACAACAGCAATGTGAAGAGTATGTGATGTATCACCTTCAGTAAAGAAACTAGTCCTCTTCATCATTTTGGTGTTTCCTGCTCTTCTTATCAATCCTCTGTTTGTCCCTGCCAACTCGTGAATCCTCTGGCAAAGATGCCCTCCTGCTCCTCCGCTTATGCCGTCTACATGAATCCTCAGATTCATTCGAATCATTAGAATGTGGATGACTTCTCCTCCTCCTCTTCTCCTTCCTACTTTTCCTTCTCCTATGTCGAGTCTCTTCCTCATCTGACGACTCGTCTCTTCTCTTCTTCTCCTTCCTCCTCCTCTTGCTGCCCTCATGCTCATCATTAGAATCTGTATCGGACCTCTTCCCACTTCTCCTCCTCTTCGACCTTCCCCTCTTCTTCCTCTCTCCTAACTCCCGGTCATTTTCATCCAAATCATCCTTCTTCTTTCTCGATGGCTTCAACTTACTGCTCATCTTTTTTCCATACTTCTTAGAAATAGCTCTCTCAATCTCCGAATCATAATCCGAATCCGAACTCTCAGTCTCCTCTTCCTCACTCTCATCCGAGCTCTCAGATGCTGTTTTACCACTCATCTTAGCCCCATTCCCCTTCAATTTCTCCAATCCAGACAAAACTGCAGCCTGAATTGCTTCTGGGTCTTTCTCCTTGCTCTCATCCTTAACAGTCAAAAAGTTTCTGCACTGAAATGTTAAATGCCCCACACGGCCACATTTCTTACATGACCCACGAGCCTCATCGGCATTGGAACCAGTTATACGGGCAAGTGCAAGCAAGCCCTGAAAGCTTGCATATGCATTCTCACCCTCCGGTTCAGAATTGATCGACTTCTGAGATGATTTATTATTATCTTCCTTGTTGGGTGCGTAAGGGTCGTACCCAATGGCGCTTTGCCATATACCGTGAGTTTGCAGGGCTGCACTACTGTGCACCCGATTGTTTGCGGGCATACGAACCCTACCTGCTGTGGCCGGCATCTTGAAATTGACAAAGAAAACCCTGAAATAAATAAAAATTGGGGTTACAGCATACAAACTCCACAAAAAAAATAATAAATAAATAAGGCTTTGAGCAATTAATCCAAATTTCAAAATTAACCTCTCAAAACGTGACTCAAATTTAATCCAGAGAAATGACACCAATTACGGTTTAGAGATTGCTGAGAAATCATTATCCTTACGTGGCTTCATTCTCCCCATTAATAAAATTAGAAAGTAAATAACATAATTACTTCAGCATGATTAATCACCATGTAAGATTGCAGAGTCATCAATGCTTCTTTGAAATTTAATTTTAGATAAATAGAATGCACACAGTTTATCCCATTTTTTGAACATTTCAATTAAACTCGGTACAACTTACCCCACCGTAACCCTAAATTACATAATTAGAACCAATCTCACATAAAAACCACCATACTTCTTTAATGAACATATTTCCGTGCTAAAACATCAATGAAAGTGAGGTTGAGATGAAAAAAAAATTATTTTAAATCAAACGAACGCATATATATACATGCGTGTGCATAATAGATCAGATTACAAATAACTTCCATACAAGGAGAGAATAAACCTGCCTGAGAGAAGTCGAAAAGGGGATGCCGAGATCGCAATAGGTCTTCGCCGACGACTTCTCCTGGGTTCTGCCGTTAAACCGTAGGGAGAGAGAGAGAGAGAGAGAGAGAGAGAAATAAAATCGATTGGGGGTGCAGGTGTAAAGGAACTATGTAGATAGGAGCATGGGAAGACTAAAGAGTAAATTACATTTATCCCCTAAACTATTATCTTTATTTTATTTTATACCTTTAATTATAAATTTCTCGCATTATACCTTAAAGTATCAATTTTATTTCATATTACTCCAATTGATAATGACCGTCAATTTTTTGACAGTAAATACACATATGAGTGGTTTGTACAACTAATACTGCCAATTGCACATGTGCATGTCAAAAATCAAAAAAAATATTCATTCATTACTTTGTCCTTTTTTAAATTCTAAATTTTCTTCCCCTGACCAACTTTCTTTTTCTTCCTAACAATCATTTAATTGCAAAAGAGGTAAAATAAAATAGTATTAGACACTTGGTGGGTAGCTCTTTGGAGCTTTCCCCTCCTTTGATATATTTTTAACTTTGTTATTATCTATTAAAGTGATATGAAATAAAATTAATACTTTAAGGTATAATGTTATAAATTTTATAGTTAAAACTACAAAGTAAAACAAAGATAATAGTTTAAGGGGATAAAATATAGGGTTAATTATAAGTTGCACCCTGAAAGATAGTTTGAATCTTAATTTAGACCCCAAAGATAAAAAATCTAAATTTGTACCCTCAGAGATAGAAATTTATATTAATGTGCACCTAAAACTAAATTGATAAATTATACTTAAATCCCCTCATGTTTGTCACTTAATCATTTAGATTCCTTCACATTTAGAATATTATTCCTACATCTCATGACGTTTATACACGTGTAACACGTAACCCCTTTTCATTGATATCTATTAATATAACCGTTAAATTGACAAATTGTGTAACACTCCGTATTTTATTTTATATATATGCATATAGATATATATTAAATAATTTTTGTAAAAATGGGGATAGGTGTAGCGATGTGTGTTTGAATTTGGTAGATTGGAAATGGAAAAAAGGATGAAATAGTGAGCAGTGCAAGTGAACTGTGCACTGGCTGCAACTTCAAGCCCAATTTAGACCTTGATGTATTCAATATCTCTTAAAACTCAAAACATGAAAGTTGTAGAGTTATTTCTTAGCTTTCCATAGCATCTTGAATCATCTCAATCGGAGCTCGGATGAGAGAGTTATGCCCCGATAACGAAGTAATATCGAAGCAGCCCATGAACAGTAAAAGAAAAAAAAATTCGGGATTTCTGTGTTTAAAAACACAGATTTCAGCCTTTACTCTCATTTCTCTCATTCCACTCTCAACCCACTTCTCTTAGGACTCTAGAGGAAGAGAGAAGGATAAAACACAAGATCAAGAGGAGATCTATACTTCAAAGAAGATCAAATCTTCATCTTCTTCACACTAAACCTAGGTTTTTAAGAACATTGAGGTAGAGTTTCTTCCATCCTTGTCCATTGATGTTAGGGTTATTATACATGTAGAATTTGACTCTTAATAGTATGTATTTGTTATGGGTTTCTTGTTCCTTGGTATGTTTACAAACATTCCCATGATTTGAACAAAATGATGGTTGGAAATCCATCAAACTCTAGTTTTTGGGGGAAATATGGATTTTTCTCTATATCTTCACATCATCTTGATTTCGAAAATTCTAAAACTTTGTGTTAGGTAGTAAAATGATTGTATTGATGATCTCATGCTTATTTCCTTTAAACTTGTCTCTTGTTATATGATTTGCGAAATGGGTATATGTTCTTAAATTGTTCTATTATGTATCTTGCTTGTGAAAATTTGGGGAAACATCATGGAATTTGCTTGTATATGAGGTTGAGTATATTGTTGGTATGTCACTCTTGTGTATGGTGTTGTGAGGGACTTGGATTACCTTCGAAAACTGCCGTAGAGCATTAGAGGTTAGTCTATCCCAATGGGGGGTGAGATGGTTGCCTAATGCTCGTAGTGGATCACTGTGGTGACAGTGACCACTATTGTTCACGGATACCGGGAAAAAGGGTTAGTATACTAGACACCTTGGAAGGATCTCGTCAAGGCCGTATGAGACGGTACATGCCCTTCTTAAATTGGTCTGTGATTGTTAGTGGAAATGGGTGAACGAGGTAGAATCGTCGAGTAGATTCATGAGAAGCGACAACCTACTTGAGTGGTACCAAATAGAAATTTTTGTTCATTGTACCAAATATTACTTTTCCAAGAGTTTCGGGTAGTATGGGATGCCGCGATACCTTGTGGAAATGGTGTATGGTGGAGTGGATTATGTTGGAAATTGTTTGTCAATTAAACGTGGTTGTATTCTCGTTCAAGTCCTTATTATTGTACAAACTTGAGATCTCCTTTAAAATGTTCTTACTTTACTTTAAAATTCATTTATATGTATGTGCGAAACGTGACCTACCTGTTTTACTTGATTTCAAAACCTTGAATGGGTTTAGAAGGATCCTCCTACAGAGCCTTGTGCTCACCCCCTACTTCCCCACCTTTCAGATTTTGCCTTTGACGAGGAGCTGGGAGTCGAGGGGCCGACATATTTGGAGACTCCGATAGAAGGGAGCGTGGATCCCGAGGTGGATGCTTAGAGCGACCCCCCTTTCTTTTGTTATAGACTTGGATAATCTTTTGGGAGAATTGTATAGCCTAGTTTTTATTTTATAAATTCCGCTGTGTATTATAGTACTTTTGTGGGAATGTAAAGGCCATAACTTGGCCTATTCTTTTGGGATAACATGTAAATTGGATGGATTGATTTTATGGTAGTTAAATGGATCCGGTGTGGTCATTACAGTAGAATTGCACAGGTTGTGTTTTGGGTAGAGCTCCCCGAACAGAAGAGACTCTGCCCAAATTTTCTTAAAATATGAATGGTGGATGAATGAAACTTTTGTCGTGATGGATTTACTTAATGCTCTCATGCGGTGAATGATTTTTAGAATGTAATGTCATCCAAGGGGGTTTTTGGGGCGTTACAAATTGTATGCTTGATTTTGAACTTTAGAGCATATCAGACCCATAAAATAAAAGGTAATATAAAATTATAATTTTTTATTAGGATAAAATTATATTTTTTAACGGTTATATTAACAGATATCAATGAAAAGGGGTTACGTGTTACACGTGTATAAACGTCATGAGATATAAGAGTAATATTCTAAATGTGAGGGGTCCAAATGATTAAGTGACAAGCATAAGGGGATCTAGGTATAATTTATCAATTTAGTTTTAGGTGCACATTAATACAAAATTCTATTTTTAAAAGTGAAAATTGAGATTTTTAATCTTTGGGGGTGCACATTAATACAAATTTCTATTTTTGAGGGTGCAAATTAAAATTTTTTATCTTTTGAGGTATACATTGATACAAATTTCTATCTATGAAAATACAAATTAAAATTTGAACAATCTTTTAGGGGTATAATTTATAATTAACCCTAAAATATAATTTATCCAAAACTAAAGGTCATTGTTATTGGAACCACCGGTCATCGAACCAGCAAGGAACCATGGTTTACTGGTTTGAGCGTTGGTCAACTGATAGGACCGGTTATATAATAAAAATATTAAATAATATATATAATAATTATAAAATAAAATAATTTAGGTAAAAAATATAAAAAAATATCTAAAATACATACAATTTGCCATAAAATTTATGAAATTAAAGAAAAAGAAGAAGAAGTAGGCTTCGGTACCGAAAACATAAAACTGGGTACCATACCGAAAAGTTAAAAGAGCCAGATGCTCGCCACGTGTACACTCTAAATCTTATAAAAACCTATAACCGGTTTCACCGGTTTCGGTGTATACTTTAAAAAATTTTAAATGATAATTATTTATTATATTTAAACATGAAATAAAAATATAAGAAAAAATTTACAATTGGGGTTATTGAGTGAACATGAACATGAACCCTATACACTTTAAAAAATTTAAACATGAACCCTTATACACTTAAAAAATAAGTGAACATGAACTCCTTTACATTTTAAAAAATTTAATCATGAACTCTTTACACTTTAAAAATAAGTGATAATAGAAATTAAAATGATAATTATTTATTATATTTAAACATGAAATAAAAATATAAGAAAAAATTTACAATAGTTGGGGTTATTAAGTGAACATGAACATGAACCCCTATACACTTTAAAAAATTAAAACATGAATCCCTTACACTTTAAAAATAAGTGATAATAGAAATTAAAATGATAATTATTTATAATATTTAAACATGAAATAAAAATATAAGAAAAAATTTACAATTTTTGGGGTTACTGAGTGACATTAAATATACCATTTTAGATTAAGTTAAAAATATTAGGAGGTTAGATTAGATCATCTAAGTTCACCACTATTTTAAGTGATAATAGAAATTAAAATTAGTTTTAAAAAATGATAGTTATTTATCATATTTAAACCTGAAAAAAAAATATAAGGAAAATTTTACAATATTTGGGTAAAATTGCCATTTGTTGGGGTTATATTTTGGGTTAAGTTAAAATTAGGGGTATAAGTGAAATTTATTGGACATATCTTGAGCGATCGAGATTAGCTCGTAACATCTTGATCGAGATTAGCTCAGTAAAATTATTTTGCAACTTGATCGCTACCGATCGCTACATACGCGATCGAGATTTTTGTTAGCGATCAAGAGATAACTCCAAAGTCTCCAAATTGATCGCTCAAGACTCTCAAGTTTCTCTCAACTCCCTTGTCTTCTATTCCCCCAAACTCCTCAAAACCCTAAATCAGCGATCAAACCCCAAATCTAACCCAAATAGGTGAAAAACCAACCTGATTGCATACCAAAACCCTAAATCACAACCATTTTTGGATCAACCACCTCCCAAATCGGTGAAAACCCAAAACCCACTCTCACCGCCTTCATCTTCTCCAAGGTTCTTTCTTCTCTCTCTCTCTCTCTCTCAATTTCATCATATTTTTGTATACATAGTTGTCTCTATCTCAATTTCATAATAATTTTGCACACATGGGTTGAGAATTATGTTTTTTGTGAATGATGGTTTATTGCTATTGCCCAAAAGTTGCTCAATTGTTAATTGTTATTGCTCAAAAGTAATAGATAATGTTCCATGTTATTGCAGATTTTTTTCTTGTTACAGCAAAGTATAATGACCAAGAAGTATAGGCCAAAAGTTGATACCAGTGAAAAAATGAAGAGGAAGGAGAGCTGTAATGTGGGAGGTCCCTCGAAGAAGAAGAAATGTAGTCATTCTCTCTCCGTTGATCCGTCCTCAATAGTTAATCCCACCTCCACCAATCCAGTTGATCCCTCATTCAATACATCAAGTTCACCCAACCCCAATCCCAATCCAGCAAGTTCATCCAACCCCAATCCAACAAGTTCATCCAATGAAGACATATCTTTCTTCAATGATGATTGCAAACATCGGTATGATAATTGTTTTTATAATAGACCTTTGTTATTGGAGAGGGGTGTTGTACTGGATGAATTAAAAGATGCAGGATTAGATGTTATTTTTGCTCTTCATTGATGGAATTCTTCAGTTCATTTCAAGAAGATGGATAAAACATATAATACATTGGTGAAGATATTTTATTTTAACCTGCATGATATTGATAAAGTTAATCACAAGTTTAAGTCCCTTGTGAGGAAGGTGAGTTTTGAAGTAACCCCAGATTTAATTTCAAAAATATTGGGAGTTCATCGACCCTTCCTTCATGATGATACACTTTCTTATCCATTCAATAATTCTAAGCACATACCTAAGTTGGAAGATGTTTATACAGAAATCGGGGGTATACCTAATAATTTTAGTGAGAGTGTTACTGATCCATCATTTTTTCAGCAACACCTGACTCCTAAATATAGGATTTTAAACCTTATAGTGGGGTACAATATTCATCCAATTGCACATAATGCTGATTTTGGACTTGATCGAGCTTATCTCTTGTATGCCATTGGAACGGGTATGAGTATAGATCTACCTTGTTTAATAATTGATGAAATTATTTCGGCACACAGTACGAATGATAGTCGGAAATATCTCTCATTTTCAATTTTGATTTCAAAGATTATGAAGGATTGTGGAGTTGTGATTCACTTAAGCGATGCTTATTCTACTCCCATGAATCCAATTAATGATGGGACAATAAAAAAGAGTTTGGGACAAGGGAAGAATAAGAAAACTCAGCCACAACAAAGTTTGGGGAAAGATAAGAATAAGAAAACTCAGCCACAGCAGCCACAAGTTGAAATCCAAAATGAATTGCACCTGAGGATAATATTGCAGCCTAAGCTGTCCCAAATTCTTCCACAAGTGGTCTTCCTTCATTGGATGAACGATTGTCTATATATGCATCTGTGATGATACGAATGGGAAGAATGATGGAGGAATTTGGAAATACTCAAAATGAAATAAAGGAGTCTCTCAAGGTGATTGATAGTAGGTTGGATAAAATTGATAGTAGGTTGGATAAAATAGATAGTAGGTGGGATAGAATTGAGTCTTTTTTTTTTTTATGAAAAGCAAAGAAATAGCTAGGAAGTGAGAATTATATGTAATTGTAGTTGTTGGTTGTTGATACAATAGTTGAAGTAGCAGTAGTGAAATGTGATGAAACAAATATATGCATATGGATTTCCATCTCTCTCTCTCTCAATTTTTGTGCATTATTCACTAAAGACATTTCTTATTATTCAGTGAAAGGTGGTGATAATATTATCTATTTTTCACTTTGTGATGATGAGGAAATATCCTACACTGTACAAGGAATTAATGTGATTGTGCCGTATTGTTTCCTTTGTTGTATATAATACTCGTGTTATTATTTTCAACCCTTTTGTTTTGGGGATTATGGTGGATTTGAGGAGTCTTGAGAGAGACAAAGAACGGTCCAGTCTTTTAAAGGATCATGTAAAGAATTCAATTTTAAACACCAAGGTTGATCTTCTCATTATAGTTTATTTCTGGTGCTTTGGTGTTGTCACCATTGTTTCTAGCAGTGAGACTGAAACAAGAAACAAATTGTCATTAATGTTCTTGTTTGGAATTATGTAATATTTTTTTTAGTCAGGACTATTAAGGGCTTTATGTGTTGTGCTTGGCATTTGCTGAGTCTTTTGGAACAAATTTAGTCTTTGTTGAGCAGATTACAGTTTACTTTGGATCATGTTGATAGAGAAGCTGATTTTCCAGTTTACTGAATTTTCAAGGTGATTATACAGTTTCAGGTTGAGTATACAATTTACTTTGGATCATGGATTATACAGTTTATTGAATTTTCTATAAGTGGCCAGCTTGTCAGGCAGAGGCTGCAGGATCAAAGAGGTCTTCGTATTTTGCGCACTAAGACTTTGATGGTATTTGATGCTAAAGGTTGAATAGGTGTTTGCTGGGGTGTTGTATGCAGTGAACTGAAGTTGGTATCCTGTTGCTGTTGGGCTTAGTATCCTGGAGCTGCTAAGTTACTGAGCTAGTGTTGCTGATTGCTGGGCAGTCTTGGAGCTGTTGAGCTGCTTCTGCAGAGCCTCTGATGCTGCAAAGCTGTGGTGTGGGCTGATTCTGAGCTGTCAATACCCTGCTAGATTTGGAGGGTGGAAGCTGAAAAGTTACTGCTTGGCGTATTTTCAGCTAGTTCAGGAAAATGTACCAGTTTTATCTGGTTTTTGTCTCAGAATTTGCGACAGAAAATCCATTACAAAAATAGAAAATCTATTTTTTTGTAACTATTTTTTCTGGTTTTGTTTTCTGTAAACAATTACTTTTTTATTTTGGTAAAAACAGTGTCTGTACTAATATGTTCCTCAAAAGTGGTAATCCTCCCTAAAAAATGATGATATTACCCAAAAAAGTGATAATCTTACTTCAAATAATAGGTAATCTTATAGAAAAAAGTGGTATTCTTATCAAATACAAGTGATAATGTTACACACAAAAATGTTGTAATCTTAACCACCCCAAAAAGTGGTAATGTTAACCAAAAAAGTGGTAATATTAACCAAAACAGTGATAATGTTAACAAAAAAAGTGGTACTCTCAACAAAAAATCCATGGTAATGTTAACCAAAATAATATTAACCAAAAAAGTGGTAGTGCTAACCTAATCAATGGTAATGTTAACCAAAATAGTGGTACTCTTAACCAAAAAAGTGGTACTCTTAACCAAAAAATAGTGGTACACTTAACCTAATAAATGGTAATGTTAAACAAAATAGTGGTAATGTAAACCAAAAAAGTTGTAATCTTAACTTAAACAGTGGTAATGTTAATCAAAAAAGTGATACTCTTAACCAAAAAAATGGTAATGTTATCAATAAAAGTGGTACTCTTAACCAAAACAGTTGTAATGTTAACAAAAAAAGTGGTACTTTTAACTAGTGGTAATGTTAATAAAAAAAAGTGGTACTCTTAACTTAAAAAATGATAATATTAACAAAAAAAAGTGGTACTCTTAACCAAAAAAGTGGTAATGTTAAGCAAAAAAATGGTACTCTTAACCAGTGGTAATGTTAACCAAAAAAATGGTAATATTAACAAAAAAAAGTGGTACTCTTAACAAAAAAAGTGGTACTCTTAACCAAAAAAATAGTAATATTAATAAAAAAAAAATGGTACTTTTAATAAAAATGATAATGTTAACCAAAAAAATGGTAATTTTTTCCTCAAAAGTGGTAATCTTACCTCGAATAATTGATAATCTTACCAAATAAAAGTGATAATGTTACAACCAAAAAGTTGTGGGAATGCACAATAAAACATATTTCGTTCGGCATTGGTGCATGAAAAATCATGGCTATGACTTAGACTGTTATAATAACTCATAATAGTAGAAATTAACAAGCAATACTCACCAAAGCAACAAAAAAGCGAAGAGGGAAATATGTTGTAACAAGCAATACTCAACTCATAATATGCTTTTCCTGCCCTCTTCTTCGTCCAAAAAAGCGAAAAAAAAAAACTTGGAATGGAGAATGTAAATTAAACCTTTTCATTCAAAGTTGCAAAAAAATTAAAATTTCTTCAACCCATCTTGCTCCATGATCTTGGTGCCCACTGTGATAGCATAAATTGATGGTTAGATGACAATGGTGAAAAAACAAAATTTGTGGGATAAAATTTGTAATTTTTGTAATTACCTCCATTGAAACTAGTGTTGATGTACTGTGATTGAATGATAGAATTAAAGCTTGACATCCCATCCTAAAATAACAAGGAATTCGTACATATGAAAAAAAAAATATAAACATCCAAAGAGTATTATATGAACCTATAGTTGAGGATACCCTCGTTGACAAAGGGAATGCAACGGTCATCCTCTTTCAATGATGGCATATATTGTTGCGATCCACCATGCTGTGAAAAAGACATGTGGGGTGGTTGGTCTGATCCACTATGTTGTAAAAAAGGAATGTCCTGTGGTGGCTGTGATCCAACTGGTTGTGAAAAGGGCATATCCTCGAATGGATCATTGGATTGAGATGTCAAGAGTGGATATTTTCTAACAGTGTGGCCAGTGCCCCTGCATTTACTACATCTTCGTGAGTTGTTTGAAATATTCTTTTGTGCACGACTATGATTACCTTTGGTTTTCACAATCTTTGGATCATTCACACCGAATTGTGTAGTCGTCACATTTGCATCGTGTTTGCCAAGTGACTCATGACGGGCTTTTAGAAGAGAAGTTCTTTGTTGCACCATACTCCTCAAGTCATTTGAGTCTGAGAGCGAATGTGAACTGTAATAACACATTTGGCTGCACATTGACATAAGTCTAGCATAACGCGTAGGAATTGACACATTCGGCTGCACGTTACCACATTCATGTGCCATTTATACCTAGATTTTGCTTTAATGGTCCACCTGTCCATCACAATGGTATGAGGAAACTCTTGTATGTGCTCATACTTCATGACCGCGATCATGTGAGAGCATGGAATCCCAAAAGACTCAAATTTCATGCAATTGCATTTAAACGCATCAATTTGAGGATAATATCGCACAATCCACCGTGATTCTGGTTTTGTGAATTGAGACAAATAGTAACTCCGATGACTTTCAGTCTCGATCTTATCCACTACAAAAAATACAGCTTCTTCTCGTATCTTATCACGGACCTTGAAGAAAATCTTTCTGGTATATAGAAGAGCAGCATGCTCCTCTAAGCATCTCAGTGCAATCTGCATCACTGGCCTCGAATGTTCCGACTCAAAGTCATCATTGGCCTCACATTCTCTGATCCTTGCCAAGCCCCTGTCATAATGCCTAACAAACTCAAATAATCGTTCACTTGTTTTTAGAAAGCGTTTCAGGTAGGCATTCATACTCTCCGATCGTTGCGTGCTTTTTAAGCCGACAAAAAATTTTCCTCGCAAGTACGCTTCGGCCCATTTGAATCTCTTTGCATAAACTTCCGCTATCCAATTGTTTGTCTCCAGTCCAAATGATTCGACCATTGATTTCCACTCATTTTCAAATTCTTCCGGAGTGCATCGAGCACACATGCACCTCTAAAATGCATTGACAAAATTTTC